TGAGTTCGAGGCCAGCCTGGGCTACCAAGTGAGTTCCAGGAAAAGGCGCAAAGCTACACAGAGAAACCCTGTCTCAAAAAAACCAAAAAAAAAAAAAAAAAAAAACAAAACAAAACAGATATAGCTGACCCATACTGATAACACTGAGATATAACGTTTAATATGTTTCTTTGGAGGGGGTGTATTTTGGAAATCTGAAGCTAAAGACAGAATCCTTCTTGGAAACTTAAAATGTTTCTTTAATGCTTACTTATGCGTGTGTGTTGTCTGACCTCTACCTGCATGCCACGTCAGAGGACAATTTAAGAGTTGGTTTTCTCTTTCCACTCTGTGAGTTCAGGGGATTGAACTCAAGGCATCAGACGTGTTAGCAAGGCCTTTCCCCACTGAGCCATCTTGAAGGCTCAGTTGTTGGAAACTTTAGATATCAACAGTCAAGAAGAAAGAGAATTCTATGTCAAAACCCTTCGAAGTCCTACCAAGTGACTGCTTATTTTGTTCACTTGTTTTCATCATCAAAACCCCTTCCACCTTCTCCCTGAACCACCAGATCCCTGATGGAAGTTCCTTGTATGTCTGCAAACACCTCTCAGTAAACATTACCTAAGATGTTGATAATAGTAATAATTTTTATCCTAGTGACCTGGACCTGATTGTTTCCATCTTTTGCCTAGAGAGCTATCAGTCTTGAGAAAGGAGAATGGAGAACTGAAGAAATTTCTAGCCATCCTAAAGGTGAATAAAATAGATTTTATTTACTTGTTTTGGTTTGGTGTTTCTAGGCATCAAACTCAGAGCCTTGCACATGCTAGATAAATGCTCTATCACTGAGCTGCATCCGCAGGGGTCTCCCTATGTAGTTTAGGCTAGCCTTGAACTTACCATTGTATGTAGTCCAGGCTGGCTTTGAACTCAGGGCCCTTCTGTCCCAATCTCCTGTGTGGGAAGACTACTGCCCATGTCACTGTGCCCAGCTGAAGTAAATCCTCTTTACTATTATTTTACCCTCTACCTTGTCCATCTTTCTAGGTGGCTATATAGGACAGTGCTTCCCAGCAAGCTCATAATGCTTGTACAATAGGTACACTGTAGTAAATGAATAAGGGTACAGAAGACCTTGGAAGGGTGAGAGCATCATTATTTTTGACCCACTCTGAAATGTTAGTGAGTCATGCTATAACTGATGGGAAGCTCTCATTAAAAAGCATATTTCAACTTAACATTTCTCTTGAAGTCCAAGATGCCTCAAAACCCTTCCCTTGTTGTTTGATATTTTTGTTTTGTTTTGTTTGGGATTGAGTCTAAAATAGCCCAGGCTTTGGACTCTTAAAAAAAAAACCCAACACTTGTATTTATTACTATTATTGTTAGTGTACATCAACATGTGTAAGACGTGTGGTGTGTATGTGATATGTAGTGTGTGTAGGTACAGATGGTGGTCGGAGGGTAACTTAGGGAGTTAGTTTTCTCTTTCCACCATGGGAATAAGGGATCAAATGCAGGTCAGGTTAGACAGCAAGCATCTTACCCACTGAGCCATCTCATTGACCTGACTTTGAACTCTTTTATGTACTTAGGGCTAGCCTGGGACTCCTAAGCCTCCTGCCTCTATTTCCTTTGTGCTGAGATTACAGGTATGTGCCACATGCCTACCTCCCCAGTATACTCTTACGAAAAGAAACTAAATTTTTGTTCTCTCGAAGCTAATAGTTTTTTAAGGAAACACTTTTTTGTCCTTCTGTTGGCAGCCTTAGCTAGGGGAGCTTGCAGGTCAATTATCTAACAATAAGACCGATATCCATTTATTAGAGCCTATAACTGTAGCTTCCTTCACTTCTGTGTTCTCACCTACAGGGATCTCCAAGCTGCTACTACGGAAGCAGGTCGGTTTTTACCACACTAGCCCTCTACCTTGACGTTTTTCTGATTTGTTTTTCAAAGCATTTTCAGTTGTACAATTGTATATATATGTACAATGATGTGTGTTACATGTATACAGTGTGTAGTGATCAGTTTAGGGTAACTAGAATTTCCCTCTTCCTAATTCTTTTTTATCTTATATATTTATTTATTTGTTTGTTTGTTGGTTTATTTTTTGTTTTTCGAGACAGGGTTTCTCTGTGTAGCTTTCGTGCCTTTCCTGAAACTCTCTCTGTAGCCCAGGTTGGCCTCGAACTCACAGAGATCCGCCTGGCTCTGCCTCCTGAGTGCTGGGATTAAAGGTGTGCGCCACCACTGCCCAGCCCTCTTCTTAATACTTAACCATTTTCTTGTGTTGGGAAGCTTTTGGCTGGTTTTTCTTGACATCCACTTGTGTGGGTTCCAAAATGTATAAAATGGTTGATGATTTTATCTTTTACTTTTCTAATTCTCTGACAGAGGTGAAATCTTTTTTGTTTTATTTTTGTGGTACTTGGGACTAGGGTCTTTTGAGTACTTTACCATTGAGCTAATGTGCTCAAGAGCTCTCTCCTCCCCATTCTTTTTTATTTTATTTTTATTTTTTGAGCTGAGAATCAAACCCAGGGCCTTGCACTTGCTAGGCAAGCGCTCTACCACTGAGCTAAATCCCCAACCCCCCACCCACCCACACACTCTTTTTTAATTAATGAAAGGAGGATCTCACTGTGTAGCTCTGGCTGGTCTGGAACTCACAAAGATCTGACTGCCTCTGCTTCCTGAGTGCTGGGATTAAAGGTGTATGTCACCATAATCCCTTACCCAGCCCTTCTGGTCCCCTTTTTACTAATCATTTTGAAACAGTCTCATTGAGTTACGTAGACTGGTTTTGAAATCTTGATTGTAATGCTCACCTTTGGCTATTATCTTATGAATTCCTACTAATCCTTCAAAAATCTTAACACATATCACTTCTTCTGTAATGACTACATCAAATGGAGTTGGTATTTGTTCAGTCAATAAATACTCATTCAGTACCTACTACTTATCTATTTAAGTACTAGGTGTACAACACCAAGTCTTTCTGATTAATGATGTCTGTGCTACTAAATATTTTTAATAGTGAATGTATTCAAAAGACACTGCTGTAGTCACAGAAGTTACTGCTTAGTCTTCTTTCAAATTCTGTATTTTATATATCCATTATAATATATAAACATTGTTTGCTGGGGTTTCTCTGTGGTGCTGAGATGTCAAATCTCTAGGCTTGCTAAGCAAGCACTCTACCATTGATTCTATCCAGGCCTAATTCTTATCTTCTCTCTTAGTAGCCTATGAATCTCTCATAGCTAATTGTATTAATCTCAAGGCATAGGACATAGACATTATATAAATGTTTGTTGAATGGAAGGCTGAAGGGATGAATGAATCAGTAGATGTAAGGCTGAGAGTATTTGGTAAGATGGTACAGGAAGAAAGAAAGAAAAGACCCCAGAGTTACATTATGAATGAGAGGGAATTGGAGAGTAAAGAGACCTCAAAATAGAAACTTTGATTCTATATGTTGGGATGATGCCTCTACTACCAGGGAGTATTGTTCTCATTCTTGTTCTCTCTCTCTCTCTGTGTCTCTCTGTCTCTGTCTCTCTCTCTTTCTATCTCTCCCCTTCCCTCCCTCCCTCCCTCCCTTCCTTCCTTCTTCCCCTGCCTTTTAAAAGAGATTTTATTTTTAATTGTGTGCATGTGTGTGTGCGCCTGCAGAGGCCAGAAGAGAGCATAAGATGCCCTAGAGCTAGAGTTAAAGCCAGATGTGGATGCTCAGAAATGAACTGGAGTCCTCTGCAAGAGGAGTACCTGCTCTTAACCGCTGAGCCTCCTCTCCAGTCTCAAAGCTACTGCTTCTATAATCAGTGACTGACTGACTCTTGATGAGTTCAGAGCTGCCTTTGCTTTTTGTTTCCTTGTAGATTAACCACACCTCGACCAGTGGGCATTACTTCCCCATCACAATCAGGTGAAAGACCAATTCTTTCCAGCTATTTGTATGAGATGAATAAATATCTTTTCCTCATATGGAAGTCGTTGGTTGTTTTTCTCAGAGACCATAATATGATTTTTCTAATCTTACATGTAGTATGAAAAACATGATATAACCAGATAACTGCCTAAAACAAATGAGCCAGACAGGGCAGAGTGCACCACTGATGGCAATTTTTCCTGCACTTTGTGCTCTTGCAGTTGCCCCACGACCAAGTTCCCAGCATAGCAGCCAAGTGGTCAGGTGAGTAGAAAGCCTGTTATTCCACATAAAACTGTGACACAGTTGGAAGATGAATGAGGCGGCTCACTGTGGTACTGAAGAGAATTACTGCCATGTCAAATGTGACACCAGTGTGTTGTGTTTGTTTTGTCTCATTTTATATAGTCGCTCTTCTTCTATGGAGTCCATCCCTTATACAGTGGCTGACTTTGGTAATATAGAACAGGTAAGTAACAGTCACATTGTTTTTCTACATTGAGGTTTCTAGTGCTTAATGAAAGCAAGACTGTAAAACAAGAATCTTAAATTTATATTGATTTTGGCACAAATCTTTTCAAGCCATGTGGAGCCCATTTTGGAGACTATTAGAAAATGACACAGTATCAACAAGGGGTGACTATAGTGCAAGCATTCAAGAACTGAGTGCACAGTATCTGTCATGTTCAGTTTGGAAGTAATAGAGCACAGGTCCTTCTTAAGAACAGCACGCACAACCTGGGAGAATAATGTATGTGTGATGGATGGTTACAGAGAAACAGTGGGGAATTGGGGATGTAGAGAAGCAGGGTATAGTAATTCACGGTCATTATTTTTCTGTCAGGGAAGCAGAGGCCTGCAGGAAAGGAGCACTCCCAGAGACTCCTACACTGGTGAGAAAGGGTAGGGGGAAGGTATCTGAAATCTGCATATTCTGGCCAGAGACTAGAAATTTCTAGTGTTCTATGCCTAATACGCTGTTTTACTTTTTTCTGGAAAATGATTCCAGTTATAGAAACATGTACTACAGTTTTTCAAGTAATGGTATTTCTGTTCTGAAACAGATAATGAGAAAATAAAAAGTTGAGAGATAGTCATTGAAAACCTGGTCAAAGGCTGGGGACAAGTAAAAGTCTTCTAACCAGAGTTTGATCCCCCCAAACACACATAAAGGAAGAAGGAGAGAACCAACCAAAATATTGTCTTCTGGCCTTCACTTGTGTACCATAGCACACAACACACACACACACACACACACACACACACACACACACACACACACACACACACACACACACCTTAAAAAACAAAGAAGAAAACCTCTGATCAGAATAACTTAACTGATTTGAGTTTTCAAAACTGCCACAAGATGGCAGTAGAAATTAAGTCTAAAAGAAAAGTTAACCAACTGTCAGTTTCTTTGTAAGGATGGCACCTTATTTCTACATTGGCTGCCATAGCACACATGTCAGAGAGGAAGCTGCGTGGAGCCAGTTCTCTCCTTCCACCTCTGTGTGGATTCCAGAGCTCAAACTCAGGTCATTAAGTTTGAGCAGCCAGCCCTTAATCTGCTCAGCCATCTCACCAGCCCAGAAAACATCAGTTCCTAACTGAAAGGTGTTTTTTGGCTTTTCACTGTGTGTTAAAGGTAAAAATACGGGCTTTGTTTCTAGTAAAAATTTTTCTTAAGGTCTGTTTTCTGTTACGAGTACAGCCACCCCATTTCTCGTTTGCTTTCTGCAGGGACCATCTTGCGTGTATGTTGTACTGGGGTTGAATCTGGGGCTTCAAGGATACCCCCACTGAGTTACATCCACATTCTTTTCCTTCTTTCTTTCCTTGCTTGCTTGCTTCCTTCTTTTCTTCATTTCTTTCCTTCTTTCAATCAGTGCTGGAGATCAAATATATACTAGACAAACATTCTACCACTGAGTTGTATCCCAGCTTGTTTTGATTTTCTGTAAAAATTTTTTAACTTGACATATGCACATATGCATGCATACCAAACCATGACACGTGTGGATATCAGAAAACAGCTTTGTGGGGTTGGTTCTCTCCTTCCACTTTAGGTGGGTTCTGGGGATTGAATTTAGGTCACTAGGCTTGAGTAGCATTGGTCCTGATTTTCTATCTTTTAATTGGAAACTTTAATACATTTATATTCAATGTAATTGCTGATAAGAATGAACTGCCATTTTGCTATTTCTTTTATATATGTCAGATCCTTTTTTGTCATTAATTTGTTTGTTATTACCTTCCCTTGTATTAAATTTATTCTAGTATAGCACTAATAAATTCTAGTGTAGCCCTTTAGTTCCCTTGTTATTTCTTTTACTATATTCAAAACTGTTTTGAGATTACAACTAACAAATTTTTAAAATCTGGTTTAAATTAATACAACATTTAACATTGATACTATACTAAAATGTTGTAGTTCTGATGAATTAATATACTCAGCAACAAAAAAAAATTTAATTATTGCCTTATACAGTTGTCTTTTAAATCTGATGGGGGGTTACCAAGAAAATTGCACTTAAACTGTCTTTTTTTGTATTTACCTATATAATTATCTTTCTGCATTTGAGTTACTAATTAGTGTCCTTTCATTTCAGCCTGAAAGACTCCATTTAGTATTTCTTATAAGGCAAGTTTGAGTGTGATAAATTCACAGTCTAAATTTTTTGTTTATGTAGGAATATCTTAATTCCTCCTTCAGTTTTGAAAGATAGTATTATTGCATATAAATTTCTCTTTGATAATCTTTGGGAACTTTGAGTGCTCTCTGGTCAGTAGTATGCCTGATGACAAAGTCAATGCTAACCTTGCTGAATATTATTTGTGGTGAGTGAGTGGCTTCTTTTTGCTAATTTTAAGATCCTTTGCCAGGGAGAGGGCATGTAGTTCAGTTGGTAGAATGCTTGCATAGGATGCATGAAGCCCTGACTTGACCCCCAGCCATGTCTAAAGTAGTGGCACATACCTATAATTACAGCACTGGAAACTGAGGCTGGAGGATCAGGAGTTCCATCTTTGGCTACATTCTGTGCTACTGGAGACCCTGTCTCAAAAAAATCAAGTTCATTTAATCATTGGGTGTTATGACAAGAAGCAAAATATAGGGAACTCTCAGAGAATACTCATTTTTTTTAAAAATTAAATGTATTAAGTTAAATGTAAGTACTGAACACCCTGCCAGCTTTTTGGTTTTTGTTTATTTGTTTTGTCTTTGTGTTTGTTTGTTTGTTTGTTTGTTTTTGAGACAGGATTTCTCTACATAGCTCTGGCTATCCTGGAATGTACTGTCCTCACACAGATCACCTGCCTCTGCCTCCTGAGTGCTGGGATTGAAGGCGTGTGCCACCACAACTGGCCACTTTTGTTTTTTTGTTTTGTTTTTTTTGTTTTTGTTTTTGTTTTTTTGAGACAGGGTCTCACCATATGGACCAGGCAGGCCTTGAATTCAAAATGATTCTGCCTCATCCTCCCAGGTGCTAGAATTCTGGGCATTTGCCACCATGTCTAGCTGCTTCTTAAAATTTTCCAGTATCCTTTAACTTGTTCATTTATCCTCCATTCTTCAACTTCACTTCACTTCAAACCACAGGACTCACTGAGAAGTTTTCGGTCTGCTTCCACAGGACTTTCGGCAGTTTTCCAGTGTTGACCGTTCTCACTCTTTGTTTCTTTCTTATTCTACACTTGAGATTTCTCTTTGACTTCCCTGGCTTCTCCTTTGCTGGTTCCTTCTCTACCCAAGTGTAAAACAGCACCTCTCAAATGTTTGGGTCTTCCATACAAAGTGCCTCCATCCTAGAGATATTTTTAAAATGAAGAACATCAGGGTTATTGTTATTTATTTAGGCCAGAAGTTGACTTTGGGTGTCTTCCTCAATCACTACCCACCTCATTTTAAAACATGCTTTATTAGCTGGGTATTAGCGAACATCTTTAATCCCAACACTTGGGAAGCAGAGACGGGTAGATCTCTCTGAGTTTGAGGTAAGCCTGGTCTACATAGAGTTCCAGGAGAGCCAGGGCTACATAGAGAGACTCTGTTTCAATACCTCCTCCCAAGAAAAATGTTTAGATTATATTTACTAATTCATTTAGGGTGTGCATATGTATGTGGGTACAAATGTGCCCAAGTGTACATATAGATCAGAGGACTACTTTTGAAACAGGTTCTCTCCTTCCCCCATGTGGGTTCTGGGGATCTAACTTAATCATCAGGGTTGGCATCCAAGTGCCTTACCCACTGAGCCATCTCACCAACCCAACCTATCCACCTTAATTCCTTAATTTCATTCTTTTTTTATTCTTTTTCTTTTCTTTCTTTCTTTCTTTCTTTCTTTCTTTCTTTCTTTCTTTCTTTCTTTCTTTCTTTCCTTCCTTCCTTCCTTCCTTCCTTCCTTCCTTCCTTCCTTCCTTCCTTCCTTCCTTCCTTCCTTCTTCCTTCCTTTCTTTTTGAGACACGGTTTCACTGTATATCCTGGAACTTACTCTGTAGAACAGATTGGCCTCAGAGTCCAAAGATCCACCTGCCTCTGCCTCCCCAGTACTGTGATCAAAGTATGTACTACCATGCCCAGCTTTTTTTTTTTTTTTAAAGAAATTTACCATACCCACACCAGATCACCCCACTCCTCTCTCCCACCTTCATGTTCTCCCCCCCCCCTTTTTTTTTAAATCTACCAGTTTCTGCCTACATGAACATAAGACAATCTACCAGCTACACCCCCAAAGAAAAATGACACCCCTTCAACTGCAAATAACTCCTCAGCTGAGGTGAGGTTTCATAGCCCTCCCCTATCCATAGTGGAATTGTTTGCTGGCTTTATCTTGTGCAGGTAAACCATAGCTGTTGGGAGTTCGTAAGTGCAGGGGCTCATGGCATGCCCAAAAGACAGCATTTCACAGCGCTCCTCCTCATCCCCCAGCTCTGACATTTTACTATCCCACCTTCCTTAGTGTCCCCTGAGCTTTGTGGGGACCATTATTTTAATTTGTTAGACAAGGTCTCTCACTTGAGCTTGCAATTTCTGCTAGACTGGCTGGCTCCGGAATCCTAGGGATCCAACTCTCTTTGACCCCGTCCAGTGCTGGTGTTTCAGGCTCACTGCAATGCCATACCCAGTTTTACAGGCCAGATGTAGGTCCTCACGTTTACACAGCAAGTTCTTTACCACCTGAGCAATCCGCATGCATGCACGCACGCACGCACGCACGCACACACACCAGCTCCTACTGGTTCTTTTTTATATGGTTTTCTTTCTTGATTTGCTGAAGTCCCATTCTCATCCTTTCTTTTAGCATGTTACTATTATTGTATGAGGGAGGGGCGGGGGTCAGGAGCTCTAGAACACACACGTGGCAGCCAGAGGATAGTGTTGGGAGTCGGTTCTCTCCTTCTCCCATGGGTTCTCTGGATCAAACCCAGGCATTCAGGCCCTCAGGTTTGTGTAGCAAAACAAATATTATAATTTTTTTTTTCCGAGACAGGCTTTCTCTGTGTAGCCCTTGCTGTTCTAGAACTCACTCTATAGGCCAAACTGGCCTTGAACTCACAGAGATCCACCTGCCTCCCAAGTGCTGGGATTAAAGGTGTGTGCCACAACTGCCCAGCTATTTACTTTTCTTTATACAGGCCATAATCTTTTCTTTGTATGTCACATAGTTTGCACACGTTCAGCATTCAGTCATCTGACAACTGTTCCTTGAGACCTTCCTTTTGTATGTATACCCTTGAGGTTAGTTCAAAGTAAGAGTTTAGGCCTTTCCAGATGCTTCCTGCATTGTGCAGAGTCCTGGGCCTAGACACTGGGCATGTGTTGGAACGTCTCAGAGTCCCCATAGACGTCACATTCCTCCATTTTCCTGTATGTCTTTAAGTCTATTATTTGCCCCAACTAACAGTTATCTTCTCAAGCAGCCAAAGCAAGTGCCTTATTGTTTTCAAGGAACACAGGCTGGTGTGTGGTGAGCTCTGATCTCAAAACCATGATGACCTTTAGTTCTAAGTCGCATCAAACCACAGTCCCATGTGTGAGGTCTTCCAGGGAACCAAACAGTTCACATAATGACAGCTGTCTAAAATGCACTTTGAGGGCCTGAGGAGATGGCTCAGTTGCCTGCTGGGCAAGCATGAGTACTTGACTTTGAATCTCCAGCACCCATATAGAGTCCAGGTACGGTGGCATGTGTCTATAACCTTAGTACTGGGGAGGTGGAGACAAGGGGATTTCCTGGAGTGCTGGTTGGCTATCCAGACAAATAGAACTAATGAGCTCAGATTCTGTAGGAGAGACTGATCTCAAAAAATAAGGTACTAGGGCTGGAAAGGTGGCTCAGTGGTTAAAAGCTCATATTGCTCTTGCAGAGGACCTGAGTTCTATTTCTAGCACCCACATTGGGCAGCTTACAACTGCCTATAGCTCCAGCTCTGGGAGATCTTATGCCTTGGGCAACTGTACTCACATGCACATATATACATAATTCAAAATAGACCTTTAAAAAAAAGGTAATGGCTAGGTGTGGTGGCATATACTTTTAATCCCAGCACTTGGCAGGCAGAAGAGGTGGATCCCCATGAGCACTAGATCATCCAGGCTACACAAGAAAACCCTGTCTCAAAAAAAAAAAAAAAGTGTCACGAGGCAGAGGCAGGCAGATCTCTATGAGTTTGAGGCCAGCCTGGTCTACAGAGTGAGTTCCAGGAACTCATAGAGTTCCAGGCTGCTCAGAGAAACCCTGTTTCAAAAAACCAAAATAAAATAAAATAGTTAAAAAATAAAAAGGTACCTGATATCAACTTCTGCCCCCCCACATGTGCATATAAGTACACATATGCACACCTGTGCTATATAACACATAAATAGAGGTGGTAGCTTGGAAAAACTCCAGTCCCATTCCTTCACTTTAGTGACTGTCAAACCTGTTTTTCATGATTATGGCCAGTTGGTTTTCAAAGATATCCATGGAGCTGGATGAGACATGAATATACAGTTGAAAGGTTATAACGTTAGCTGCTTTTACTCACATTCACAGTTTTTTGTTTTTATTAATGTACATTTTCCAGATTGCTACCAAATCTTTAAAATTTAAGGAGTTCTGAAATGATATTCTGATTGATTTTTGCAAACTTTCTCCTTGCCTTGGATTTTGGGGATCATTTTTGGAGCTCTGTGTCACTCTCTTTTAACTGATGTCTCTCCTAGAGACATTTCATGACTCTTGTCTCTAGCTACACTTTCAGTACCATCTTAAAGGGAAAGCCAAAGAAAGCACATACACATTAAAGCACTTCAAGGCAGAGATGGCCCCTGACCTCCACACTCAAGAAAGGAAAAAGAGTACCTTTATGAGGTGCTGCTAAGTGACTTAGAAGCTTTTTCATTTACCATTAGCCCTAACCCTAAAATATATACAAAAAACCTTTGATGCCATTTCCTTCACACTGGCCCCTAAATCCCTTCTGGATTATCTCACTGGCTCATATTTATGCTTTCCAGAAACACCTTCACCGGCTTCAACTCGTAGCCTCTCTTACAGGTAAGTAATATTGCACTTTCTTTTTTGTGTGTGTTTGTTTTTGAGGCAGGGTCTCATGTAGCTCAGGCTGGCCTCAAACTCACTATGTAGCTGAGACTGCCCTTGAACTCCTGATCCTCCTGCCTCTGCCTCCAAGTTCTGGGATCACAGACGAGCACAACCATACATAGTTGCCTTGTTTCTTTTCTAGGGATGTGTTCACAGTGATTCTATCAGCATTCCTAGAGCTCGTGATTGGCTTATTCTACTGGCATTCCTAATCTGTAGTTTATGAGAAGATGAAGAGTATTGTGTATAATATGCATTCAAGTCATTGTCTTCTCAGTTGTAGGCAGGGTTTTCTCTCCTCTCTGGCCCAAAAGCTCACTTTTTACATACACTTCTACCTTTATCTTTCCTCCATTGAGTTTACCTTTGTTATTGTTGTTGGTTGATTATTTTTTGAGACAGTGTCTTGGTCTATAACCCTGGCTATCCTGGAACTCACTATATAGACCTGCCTGGACTTGAACTTGTTTCAATCCTCCTGCCTTGGATCCAGACCCCTGGGATTACAGTTGGGATGTTGCAATTCTAGCTTTATTGATGCTTTTATTTCCATTCCTTAGACCTTCATCTGCCTCCTCTGGACAGGGGGTTTCTTTTAGACCATTCCTCAGTGGGGACTCAGGCCACACAAGAGTCCTTACTCCCAACAATTCTGGTAAGTTAATGTTCTCAAGTTTTCTTTACAGTGAGGGGAAGGTCTGAATTTTGCCTGAATAGTACAAACCTGTCACCAGTTGAATTCTATTATGTACAGTTTGGAGGATTAGGCTGGCTCCTTCTTTCATATTGTCCTCAAACTAGGGATGAAACCCAGGACTAGGGCCTTCCTATGTGTCCTAATCGCAAATTAGATTACCTGAGACGGGGTCTTGTGCAGGTCAGATAGCCTCAACCATCAATGAGGTCCAGGTTTATCAAAAACCTGTGATTGCCCTGCATCTGCCTCCCAAGTGTTTTAACTACAGGCACAGACCACCAGGTTTGGCTTTTTTTACATCCCAGTTGAGGTTTGGTAAGAGGGCTCATCAGGTAAAGGCTTTCTGCCAAGTCTGGTGACATGAGTTTGATCCCTAGGACCCATGGGTGTGGAAATTGTATGATGGAAGGCAAGAAAACCAACTCCTCAAAGTTGTCCTCTGACATCCATCTGTGCACCATGACTCCTGTGTGTGTGTGTGTGTGTGTGTGTGTGTGTGTGTGTGTGTGTGTGTGTGTGTGCGTGCGCGTGCGCACGCGCGCACTGGTGCGTGTATACACACATACATAATAAATGTAAAAAACTGAGCTCTGGATTTTTAGATCCCGCATTGAACATGTTGGGAGTTCAGTTCCAAAGGCTGTAAAATCCAGTGTCTGTTTTTCAAGTCCTGATGTTCCCAGCCTTGCTCCACATTTTTACACTGCCTCTTTCCACTCCAGTTAAACTCCAGCCTCAGACTGTTCTGTCCACATGCCACCGTAGATAGCTGTGTTGGCATGAGAAAAAAAATTGATGTGATGGCCCATTTCTCAAAGTGCTTAGCTAATTGTTTTCAGACATGGTTTCTTTTATTAGCCCAGGCTGGCCTGGAATTCCCATTGTAACTGAGGCTAGTCTCCCAAGGGCTGGGATTACAGGATTACAGGTATGTACTTTTAAAAATATATACATATATACACATACATATACATACATACATACATACATACATACATACATACATACATACATACATACATGTCTTCCCATGTAGTCCAGGCTGGCCTTGAACTGTCTATGGCCAGGTTGGTCTCAAACTCATGATTCTTTTGCCTTGATTTTACAGATATTGAAATTACAGGCATATACCACTGTGCCAAGCTACTTAATAGTCTTTCCCTTTCCAAGTAGTATTCTTTATTTAAGAGCTCACTAGATATCGTGGCCCACAAGTAACATGACTGAGAAACTGCCCAAGTATGTTATCTGTCACAATTCTGTCCTATCCTTCAGGTCAGAGGGAGAGCAGAGCCACACCAGAGAATCTTCCTGGTTTCCAACTTCCGGTCCTACAGGTGATGTCTGGCAGCCTAACTTGTATGTGTAGAAGTGTTGAAGTTAGGCCTTCACACTAAAGGCTGAGGCCTAGGGTGGTAGAAGGTAACCAGTGGCAAGTGACACAGGTGTCACCGTGACACACAGGCTTTTCGGATGCTCGCAGTTTCGTGAGTCTGTCTTACTGACAGACTAGTTTGCTGGTTTGGTGTTTTCTAAAATTAAGTCACATAACAGTAACTAGTCTTGGCCAAAAGCACACAGACATTTCCAGTAGTTCCACAACAAAGTTTTTGTTTTGTCTTGGGTACTGGGTACCTTGTGCATTGTAAGTAAGTACTCTCCCAGTCGTCTGTATCCCCAGACATTTTCCATTTTTAAGTCAGCTCTTCATGAGTTGACCAGGCTAGCTGTGCATCAGTCTCCCAGACAGCTGTGATTATGGGCCTGCACTATCAGCTGGGCAATGAAAAGTCCTTTTCAATGGAATGTATCATTTGGATGAACAAGGAAGAGCGTTTATTTCTCGAGGTGAATTTATGGGACTAATCCGAATTCAAACAACAAAAGGAAAAGGTGTAGTGGAAGTCTGTAAGGAGATCCAGTAAGTGAAAATTTCAGTCTTGTCTTTTAATTCCACTTTTGTGTCTTGAGTTTTGAGATTTTTTTTTTGAGGCTATTTTCACTGAAAGTTTCTCAGGAACCAAGAAACAGTTCCTGCATAGTAAAATTCAGATATATTTATTTCTATAATCCAAGATGCCCTTTTAAAAATTAATTTTTAAAATTTATTTATGTATATAAGTACTCTATCTGCATGTATGTCTTTATACCAGAAGAGAGCATCAGATCCCACTATAGATGGTTGTGAACCACCATGTGGTTGCTGGGAATTGAACTCAGGACCTCTGGAAGAGCAGCCAGTGCTCTGAACCTCTGAGCCATCTCTCCAGTGCCCCTAAGATGCCCTTTATTTTTTTGTTTGTTTGTTTGTTGAGGAATACTTTATTTTGGAAAAGAAAGAACTTTAATTAATTAATTTTTTTAATGCCAAATGCTGTTTATTGAAGGAGGGAAGAGGTCTTAAATACAGGCTTACAGCACAATGGGAGAACCCCGGAGGGCAGAAGTTCGCTGTCGATGTTTTACAATCTTGCATCTAAGCTGTTAACCCCCATTATGCAGGATACACAGACAAGGAACTTCCCTTAAGCATTCAGGAGGGTGGACCCAGCAGGGAATTAGCATAGGGAGGATATCAAGGTCAAGGTCAGCAAGCAAGGCAACAGTTACCCAAAACAGGGGCCAGGGCCCTACAGGTCCCCCTTTTACTAAAAAATGAGCTTCTGACTTAGGTTGCGTGGATGCCCTTTATTTTATCAGTAAAAAATAAAAATTTAAGTAGGGCCTAGTGGCTAAAGCCCTCAGCTACTCAGAAATCTCAGCTACTCAGAAACTGGGCAGAGGAGGACCTTATATAAGTTCAAAGCTAAGCCTGTGCTATAGTATGAGTTTCAGGCCTTAGTAAAACCCCATCTGAAAAATGAAAATTAGCCAGGTACTTACAATCCTAGGTTTTCAGGTGAAATAGGAAGATCACAAGTTTGAGGCCATCTTGAGTTACATAGGAAGTTCCAGGTCAGGTTGGCCAGAGACCTGTCTTAGATAAAAGAATAGACAAACTAGAGATAGAGGTCAATGATAAGTGTGCTTGCTTGGCATATACAAGGCCTTAGATGATATCCTTAAAAAAGAGAATAAATGGACTGAGTCTACCAGGTTGAACTCAATCCTCAGGGGAGTGTTTGCCCTGGAGGAGATGGGAATGGGGGTGGGATGGGGGAAGGGAGGGGGAAG